ATGTGGACCTCACACATAAACTGAATATTTAAAGTAAAAGATTTCAAAACTGTGTCATTTAATTCTTATATCAGCGGATTTGAATATTTTGATAACTATATTATTTGTTGTTTTAAGATGGGAGAGTATTAAACGGGTGGCAAGAAATGACCTGGATAAACAAAGCTAGCTATGAATTAGCATGCATTGATTATTAATCTCCCCCTTTACGCAAGGTTACGTAAAGAATCTGACTCGACATTTGAATATAACACGAAACGAAATGTGTTGAGTAATTTGGACTAATCAGGGTAGCTGGGTGTGAAATGGGAAGATTTTATAAACATAATGGTTGATAATTCCATTGATAAAAGTCACTTCAAGTTAGACCTCGCTCATCGTTTTACTAATCACAAGTGAAATAAACTAGAAAAGGTCTAATTCACAGGTTCTCGTCATCACCCTTCATAATATGATTTACAACCCTGAATTACATTATAGCAAAACGACTTTACTTTACGCGAATGACAGATTCGCATTTACTGCACTCTTTTTTCTTTTCTATAACATCCATTCTTTATAGTCGTATACAGAAAGTTAATATATGACTTCTTCTTACATTCTTCAGTTAGTCGTATACAGGTCGGGCTCATTAATCTAACATTGAAATGCTAGTAATATTTTGTTTTAAAACAAAAAAAGCTAAAAAGTACCATTGAAAAAAGTCCCTGTAATGATCTTTATATCTTTATATTTGCTGCGCTTTTTCTGAAAGTATTACACCCTATTGTCTTTGATAGAACGAACTTATGGATTTTAAAAGCTAAAATAAACATCGAAAAAAAAACCCCAACAACATAAAGCTAAAAATCAACCATCAACAAAACAAAATTTAAACTCTTAACCGAAAATAATTTAAAACTGTAAATCAACACAATTTAAATTATTGAAATAATGACTTGTCAGTTAGTTTAAATTTAAAAATTCCTCTCACATGTATTATGTACAAAAACACAGTTATATAATTCAAGTCAAATCAGAACCCAAAATCGAGATCCTCGGTTTCTTTCGTCTTGGATTTACAGAGAGCGAAGTGTTCACCGTTTTGGAATCTCTTTTCAAGACTAATGCAAGTCTTCCATCCCCCAAATTCCTTCCCTGGCTATAATTCTGTCCCATGGAAATACTTTGTACATTAGATAGAAGATAGAAGACTTTGTACATTAAACCCACAGAAGTTCCAATTACTATAGTTTCTATTTATCTGTAAACTGACTTCCCACCGAGAACATTTTCTAAATCCAACATAAGGTGGGGTTTTTACGTCTAAACAAGAATTTCTTCAACAAACAACCAACTCATTTCTGGCAATACGATAGGAATTGATAAGCCTGGACGTTCAAGGCAGGCTAATACACACCGTTCAAAGAAACATGAACACGAAAAGGTAAGCGGTCTCGTGGCTGAAGTAAGACTGCGTTGGAAATATTTTGGATTTGAAATCAGCACTTAAACAACGTCTCACAAGTCATATTCTCATTTAGCAAACTCGGGTGTCAAAAAAACCGTTCGAGTTTGAAAGCAGAAAATTTAACTCCATTCGCCGCCATTTGCAAAACGGAAATCATTGAGCGACCGTTATTTTAGAGTAGGAGTAAACTTACCCTACAAAATATACAGAATAATATTTGTCAGGCCAAGATGGACAGGTGCTCGTATAATATATATTACTATGTAGTATAGTGCAGGCAAATCGACCACTCAGATATCTAATTGTGTATCTACATGGTGCCGAGATACAGAACCAAGTGTATTAGCTAACCTTGAAGTAAAGGTATACCTGGATGTACGGGGCTAAATAAATATCTGTAAGATAAACAACTATTAGTCATAATGTTGTTATATTTCTACAGTGAGGATGTTGCCACACCGGGGATTCCCCCCTTCAATTCCAGAAATCATACCGTCCACCTTGGCATCAGTAGATATACTTTCCACTTGTTAACTGTACATCTACACTAGTACTGTACCCATTGAATTTATTTACCAATATGTTTGTAACTTTCTAGAGCGACATACAAGAGAGAGAGGGGGGGGGAGAGAGAGGGAGAGAGAGGGAGGGAGGGAGAGAGAGAGGGGGGAGAGAGTGAGAGAGAGAGGGAGGGAGGGAGAGAGGGAGAGAGAGGGGGAGAGAGAGAGGGAGGGAGAGAGAGAGGGGGGAGAGAGAGAGGGGAGAGAGAGAGGGAGGGAGAGAGAGAGAGAGGGGAGAGAGAGAGAGGGGAGGGAGTGGGTGTAACCTCTAAAAAAAAACTAGATCATTTCGGGACCTTAATGTGTATTATCTAAATCAACCATGACAGACTCATTGATTTGGGAACTTTGAACCACACCACTGATTCTTTCCGTATACTTTCCGGCTTTTTCTGGGTATATGTATCTTGCTGGGTTTCCGCCGTATCATTTGTATTGTAAGCAATTATTCCCAGATGTCTATAAATCATATACATTTTTAATTGACCTCATTAATAAAACATCTCACAAGAAAATCGAAATTAGTGACGATCATACCAACAGTTTATTTGAACAGGTCCTACATTTCCGATAGCCTATCTTTACAATTGTACCATTTTAAATATTGTACAACTATTGTGGAGTGACGTCGATAATAACTGTTTCAGACAGCCCACCTTTATAATTGTAACATTTCAAATATTATACAACCATTGTAGTGTGACGTCGATAACAACTGTGGACCCGATTCATAATTTATAATCTTCACACGAATCAAGTAGTTTTTATAGGCACCTGTTTGAACATTTTTATTTACTCGTTACACAACTGTCGCATCATAACGTTACTGAAACTAACATCAAATCTATGGCTGCATTTGTGTAATTTAACAATGACTTTCCGATTTCGGTTATGTTATAATGACTTTGTAATTTAATACTGACTGTGTAATGCAATAATATCTCTTTTAAATGTAATAATGACTTTGTAATTAATTAATGACTTTGTAATTAATCAATGACTTTGTTTAATGTTATAATGAGAGAGAGATAGAGGGAGAGAGAGATGGGGTTTAACGTCCACTCGACACAAACTAAGTCATAGATTACGGCTACATTTGTGTAATTTAACAATGACTTTCTGTTATGTTATAATGACTTTGTAATTTAATACTGACTTTGTGTGATGCAATAATATATTAAATGTAATAATGACTTTGCAATTAAATAACGATTTTATTAAATGTAATAATGACTTTATGTAATGTTATAATGACCTTGTAATTTTATAATATTTACACCATACATGACTGAAATGAATTCCCCAAAACATTCCTGAGACTAGCATCAACCCTATGGCTACATTATTAATGTATTAATGACTGTGTAATTTAATAATGACTTTTTGTTATGCAATAATGACTTTGTGTAATTTAATAATGACTTATTGTAATATAATAATGGCTTTTTGAAAAATGTGATAAAAGTTTTTTGTTTTATGCAATAATGATTCTTTTTTATGTAATAATGATTGTGTAATGTAATAATGACTGTGTAATGTAATTGTGACTGTGTAATGTGATAATGACTGAGCAACGTAATAATGACTGTATGTAATGTAATAATCCTGGTTGGGGCAGAAAAGTGGGACGTTAAACCCCCTTTTCATTTCTATAAAATTTACTAAAGCCTTTTATGTCCAATTAATTATCGAGGAAGAATGTTGTATTTTCGACTGTCTCGGGCTGTCTGTCTGGTTGTTTCAACATCTTCCTTTCTCGATTAAACGAAGATAGTGTCTGATGCCTGAACCAACTTATCTTTGAAACTTTATCCGAGTTGTTAAAGGAATTCATTAACAATGGCTTAAGGGGGTCTGGTATGGTTGAGCAGACTAGAGATATTTTAATACGGTATTTAATCCTCGGTAAGACGATTGGAAGGTGTGGCGTTACCGCTATATCAACACTAACATATCCACATATTATAGTTAACTGTTCGTAACCCTTCCATTTCAAATCGCTGGTCTGGAGGTCGGGTGTTCGATCCCTGCATTGGCCGAGAAAGTTCATCCAGATTTTCCGACGTAGTTCCCCCTTGTCAGTGATGCAGGACGGTGGACCTGGCAAGGACAACTGTCTAGTCGTTCGGATGGGACGATAAACCGAGGCCCCGTGTACACGTTGGCGTGTACGTAAAAGATCCCTTGACAGTTGGAATTCGATATAAGAGTAAGCCGTAGTGCCGCTGTCTGGGCACACTGTATCGCGTATGCCCATCTTCATTAGCCCAGTTTCGGAGCAGAACAGTAGGACGTTAAACCACATTTCAATTAATTTCCATTTCAAATGACTAATTAGCATTAACACAACAAATTAATATATAAAACAACACCCTTTTCTTTGTCATATCTCATTGGCCAGTATCCGAGACCAATGTGATTTTCTGTATACATGTATTTACGAATTTGCGATTTAGAATGTTTGTATATTTAGTTTTAGTTATAAATTACGTTCTTGTGTACTTTTATTTTTTAATTACGTTCTTGTGTAGTTTTTGTGTTCAATTACGTTCCTGCGTAGTTTTGGTTATAAATTACGTCTTTGTGTAGTTTTAGTTTTTAATTACGTTCTTATGTAGTTTCAATGTTTAATTACGTTCTTGTGTAGTTTTAGTTATAAATTACGTTCTTGTGTAGTTGTAGTTTTTAAATGCCTTCTTGTTTAGTTTTAGTTATACATTACGTTCTTGTGTAGTTTTAGTTTTTAAATTACGTCCTTGTGTACTTTTAGTTTTTAATTACGTTCTTGTGTAGTTTAAGTTATAAATTACGTTCCTGTGTAGTTTTAGTTATAAATTACGTTCCTGTGTAGTTTTAGTTATAAATTACGTTCTTGTGTAGTTTTAGTTATAAATTACGTTCTTGTGTAGTTTTAGTTTTTAAATTTGTTCTTGTGTAGCTTAAATTCTAAATGATTCTAAAATATATGAAATAAAGTAAATGTGTCTTACCTTTGTTTTAATTCAAATTGTATCTGTTTATCTGTATATGATAATAATCATACCACTATCACCAACAAGGCGGACACAAAACTGAAAGATAAAAATAATGTTCAATTTAATTTTAACATCTATAATTTTAATAGATGACAGTATGCCACCCTATTTGAACTCTGCTTTGAACTTGCAAGCCCACATACCACAGAAGATTCGTCAATTAATATCTATACAAACTTTAAATCTTTCAGTATATCTACTGTATATTCTTTGTTAAGTCTTTGGGTCAGACTTTTTTAAAGCTCGCAAAAATACGAACTTTCAGTTTTAATTGGTGTAGAAAAGTAGGACGATATAATTTTTCATATATATAATAATATCGTCAGTTATCACTAATTATTTACAGATCAGGGTTTTGAAATGGAAATGTTTTGAGTTGAGACTAAAAACAGACACCTGCTACATTGACTGTGACAGTTTATGCCAAAGAAAAGATTTCGGCATTGGAAAATGCACATTGTGGGTTAATATATGGGCTCCATATGATTTGGCATAGTTTAACGCCTTGAAGATGAAAAGGATTAACGTGAACTAAGTTCTTGGATGCATTGGGGTCCAGTGCAGGGGGTTCGAAACATGAGAGATGTGTTAATGTTTTCTGGTGTTAGTGAGAAGCCGAACTGCTGAATCTTTAAACTTGTTGTAGTTTGTTAATCTGATAATCTAGTGAGTCGTCCGGGCAAAATGTCAATCGTACCACACTACGTGGCGTATGCACCTCTTTATTAGCCCGATTGGTGCCGAGGAGTTGGATGTTAAACCCTATTCTGTTTCGATTGCCAATATAAGGAGTTCCTGTTGAGCTTTTGAACATGTGAACCCGAAAACGAAAAGTGGCGTCAGTACCGAATAGCTTGCAAATCGATGGAAAGACTTCGAATTTTGTTGACACGATGTCACAATTCCAAGATGGCTGCGATGGTGTCATACTTGTTTCCTGGACCCTAGAACGCTCGTAATTGTTAAATTAGGCATCCGTGCAATATAAGATGGCGTCATACGTGAAATAAAACGACAGATGAATTTAATCCACCGATCTAATTTGGACACCTATTTTGCCTCGGAGAGAAGAAAAAACTTGGAATATGGTAGTTACTGGTAAAATTGATCATTTCAGACTGCAACAGGAAACTTAACGTCATTAATTACACCGACTTAAATATATTTACTGCTCAGATTTAAAAACTACGAAACAGAGTATTGAGAAAAAGTTGAAAATCATTCATGTAGAATTGGAAGCTAATGGAGAAAATCAGGGTATTACTTTTCCTTCATGGTAAACTCGCTCAATCTGCACTACAAACTAGTCGAGTGGAAAAACTTTACAAGATAACACACTACACAGACACCATGATGAACGATTTCATAACAATTAAAGGAACCGTTATAAAAGCGTGTGCATGAGGACCGCACCGCGCACAAACAAAACTTATAAGACAAACCCGTGGACACGACGCAAAAAACGGCACAGAAATTACGACTTGTTTACTTGGAAAATTCACATAATTAGATACTCCCTTGTACTGTCATATGGGAAGACAAACCGGGATTTCGCGTACATATTGGCATGTACGTATAATAAACGATCCCTTGGCATTTGGAATTCGAAGAAAAGTGGGCGGACATGCCGCTGTTTGGGCGAAAATTCCTTCATAGCACACTACAAGGCTTATGCCTCTATTCATTAGCCTAGTTGGTGCAACAAGCATGTATAGGACGTTAAATCCCATTACATTTTATTTTATATCTAAATATTTGGAAGTGAGGTCGCAATTGACTTCTCATAAACTCTTAAGGCGATACCTTGTCGAGTGGGCGTTAAACCTCAACTCTCCCAACTCTCTCTCTCTCTCTTTCTCTCTCTGTCTTCTAACGCTACCCTTCCACCCAATATCTTCGGAAATCCTAGGACCGTCTTTAAAACTCCATCTAAAGATGGCCGTCTTTAAGGCCTAACCTTGTGTTTACTTCACCAATACAATATCCGGTGAATGCCATCAATTAAAACTCGACTTCCACCCCATAGAATAAACTAGGATAAACCATTTCCAGTGAGATTAGGTCTGCTCGTGGTGGTTACACGACCTCCGGCCATTATACACCAATTCTCATACCTTCTCGTCTCTTCGCACGAGATCAAAAATAAATTAAACAGATCACATAACTCAACAAAACCAGGAATGTCGCCATCTTTACTTAAACTACCCCCAGGCAAAGCTTCTGCTTTCACTCTCGTTTTCGGTCTATATGAATACGGTGGAATTGGAAAATGACTTCAACATATCGCGATTCTAGAATACAGCCTTAATAGATTGATTGATATATAGGCTATCAAACTACATTAGAACACAGCTTATTTATTTACTCGTTACACAACTGACGCATCATAACGTTACTGAAACTAGCATCAATATATGGCTACATTTGTGTAATTTAACAATGACTTTCCGATTTCGGTTATGTTATAATGACTTTGTAATTTAATACTGACTTTGCGTAATGCAATAATATCTCTTTTAAATGTAATAATGACTTTGTAATTAATTAAAGACTTTGTAATTAATTAATGACTTTGTAATTAATTAATGACTTTGTAATTAATTAATGACTTTGTAATTAATTAATGACTTTGTAATTAATTAATGACTTTGTTTAATGTTATAATGAGAGAGAGAGAGAGAGAAAGAGAGAGAGAGATGGGTTTAACGTCCACTCGACATAAACTAGGTCATTTCGGGACTAACACGTGGTTCAATTTTATTTCAATAATTCGCTTGCGTAGCAGTGGGAGGAAACCGGACTCAATGACAGACCTCATGATACAGCGCGCGCGTGCTAACCATTTAGCCACCCAGCCCCCGGCTTCAATAGACTGATTGGTATATACAGTCTTAAGACCAACTAGAAATCAGCCAGATTTCTTCAAGTTTGGGAATGTGACCTCAAAGATTTGTTGAAAAGAATCCTGTCATCAACCTCTCGAAGACAATAAATTGTAGCCCAATTATTATCTATTCAGATGGTGTATTGTATAAGTGTCATATTACACTGCTCTATATTTAGAATGTAACACTAAAGCTAGATGGGTTTGGAATCAGATTCTATGAAATTTGAATAAGAGAATAAGAAAAACTAATCAAATTAAACACAGAAATAAACAAATTTAATAACAATTTAATAAAATTTAAAAAAATTGATTCAAATATTACATAATGTAATAATAAGCTTATTAATTTGATGTAATATCTACAGCAGCTTGTCTAAGCCAGGGTATAAAATATCTTACATTATTTTACTTATATACTTTGATATTGACCAATTTGATGTTAACCAATTAAATGATTTTGGAACTTTTTCTTGGGGAGATAAATATTCATAAGTAAAACAAGGGTTGTTGAGCACATTGCGATTGTATAACTCTTGCCAATTATATATTGATTTCTATAGAAAGGGGCCAATATCGAAATATTAATGGCCTATTGATCCATCGTACAATACTATTTACGAACTTATCAATTATCAGTAAAAGAAAATTTGATCCAAAATTATCTATTTTGGTGCAAAAATATGAACATTTACTGATTATTTACATACAGGGAAAAGGTCACCCCAAAACAATCCACATGTATTTGTTATTTAAAAGAGCTAAATCGCTAATATTTAGGACCTAGAAATTGACACAAATGGTTCGCAACACAAATAATAATGTAATATGAATGTACATAAACTGATTTAGTATTTATTGCGCATGCTCTCCAGATAGGAATATGACGTAACCGTTTGAGTTACTTGTGGAATATATCTAGCCCCGTCCTTCTAGTCCCTTGTTATAAATGGCACTTAAAGGCATTCGTGAACCAATGGTAAAATGTTTATTTTGTCTTACAATCTTATGGAAGCCTATAACTACCATTTATAATTTCTACTTTTCGCCCCTTTAAAACACGAAAGTCGAAAAGTGACCTTGAAAGTAGAGACTACATCAACTTCTGAGGCGAAAAGACAACAGTACGACAGCAAGCCAAAATCAAAGGTCGCTAATATCGCCATCAATACTAGACTTTATAAACTATTTTGTTAACGCGAATTTATTGTCAATGTCAACAAAACAGTACACCTTTAATAATGTATTATAACAATATTACTTATATTCTCTGTCACCACAGGGGGATCACGTGGCTAAGTGGGTAAGACGCTAGCTCGCTAGCCGGGAGGTCGGGTGTTCGATCCCTGCATTGGCCGAGAAAGTTCATCCAGATTTTCCGGAGTGGTTCTCCCTTGTCAGTGATGCAGGACGGAGGGGCTGACAAGGAAAGCTGTCTAGTCGTTCGGATGGGACGAAAAACTGAGGTCCCGTGTACACATTGGCGTGCACGTAAAAGATCCCTTGGCAGTTGGAATTCGATATAAGAGTAGGCCGTAGTGCCGCTGTCCGGGCAAAATTTCCCTCATAGCACACTGTATGGCGTATGCCCGTCTTCATTAGCCCAGGTTAGGAGCAGAACAGTAGGACGTTAAAACTCCATTTCATTTCTGTCACCACAGAGTTCTTGATGTGGAAATTTACACGGAAATATTTATTTATGGCTAGGGATAAGATATGATATCATATCATATCTTTAGATATCTTTCTTATCTAATTTAGATAAGAAAGATATGATATCATATCCCTAGCCATAAATAAATATTTCCGTGTAAATTTCCACATCAAGAACTCGTAGTATTATTCTTACAATTTCTCGTACAATGGGGGCCACAAGGCAAGAAGTTAGGCCCGATATACGCGAACATCAAACCGAGATCTTTGATACATAAACATATAATATTTTTTTTTTTTCAAAACCGGATACAAATCGTTAGAGGGACCACAGCCTTCGATCCGATTATCACAAAATTCAAAACCCAGGGTGTAACGGTGTATATTTAAACGGTTTTTAAAATCGGGTATAAACTGTAATTTTTGGTACACCCGGGGTCCATAATCTAGGAGGTTACGGACCGATATGTGCGAATATGGAAAGAAACAAAAATCCGTG